CGATCTGGGTGAAAGGGACCACAGGACTGCTGGATCTCTGACCCACCCTGGCCCAGACCATCCCTTGAACCAAGCTGATTTAGTGGGGCTGAGGGAGATGTGGGGCACAGAACCTACGGCAGGGAAATCGCCTTACCTGCCTGCAGTCAGGGCTGTGTTCCTAATGACCAAAGTTGCCATTTAATGAGGGTCTGCTCTATGTCTGGGGCCATGTTGGACCCTTTTTCTGTGCAAACTCTAGTGGTCTCAACAGCTCTGAAAAGTGAATATGACTATTCCCCATGTTACACATGATGAAACTGACTCAGAGAGGTTTGGTAACCAACATGGACCACACAGCTGGAAAATGGGAGGGCTGGGTTTTCAAAGTGGATCTTTGGGACTGCCTCCAAAGCTTGCCAGGCTGCCCCTCGCGTGACCTCTGAGGCCTCCAGCCTGGAGCCAGACTGGCCATGCCCCACTAAGCCCCCCTATTAGTGAGCTGTGCCCCTCTAAACACTCCCTGAAGGCAAGGTCTAGCTTTCCAAGCACCCCAAACTAAACTGGGTCAGTCTTGTCCTCCGCCCCCCTCCTCCTTTCAGCTGTCCACTGTCTACTGGAGAGCAGAGATTCCAGGCTAGGGAGTGGGGGCAGGGTGCAGAGAGGTACAAAGATTTTGAAGCCAGCAGGAAGACAAAAGAATGACAAGAAGGAGCAGCTGTTTGTGAAGGGAAACCTGAGACAGGCACAAAGCTCAGGTCCTAATCCCAGGCTCGTGTGGAGCCAGGGTTGGGGTCCCCCCAAGGTCAGGGATTCTGAGGGCAGCCAGATAGGAGTGCTCGGCCCCACGCCAGGGTGGGCCCCCTCTCCCATGTGCACAAACAACCAGTGCTTGCTTCCTCTTCCTGGGCCAAGACCCCTGCCTCTTTCTGCCCCTCTTCTGCTCCCCATCCCTTTGGGTTTGGGGGCTTCTTTCTGATTTCCCTCTTCTCATGCTGAGATCTCCTCTAACCTGCCCTGGCGTGCCCCTCCTCCTCCCATTCCTGGTAGTAATTTTAGCAACTTTTCCTCTGAACTCCCGTTGGCGTGTTTCCAGCAAATGGCCTCTGTTTGGGCCTGACACTTGATCAGGGTGGTGACAGAGCCCAGACAAAGCAGTCACAATGCTGGGGAGGGGAGGGCAAGGGAGACAGATTACCTTCCTTCCACTCCAGGCCTTATTTGGTCTACCTTGGTGAGGCTGCCTCCCTCCTGCTCCTCTTTATTTATAGCACTTTGAACTGCTCTCCTTTGTCTTGTCTGCTACCACTCTGTAGTACAAGCTGCGCTGTGCCCACCCACCCCCACACGGGGGGCCCCTGGCCCTCACTCCTCCCACCAGGAATGTGCATGTGAGTGGAGGCACTGGCTATAAGCTCAGGCCTGGATTTCACTTCTACTGACAGCTGGATAGAGCTGCCCGGAGGAAGGATCTTGATTTTGGGCACCATTAGATCCTTACTGACTAGAACCATGCCTGGAACATAGGTGTTCGCTAAATACTTGTTGAATGAAGGAATTAGCAAAGCTGCCCAGTCTTTTAACGGTAGCGAGCAGAAGGAAGAGAATCATGATGGAGCCAAGAGCAAGTGCCGGAGGGCTGGAGAAAGGGTGGGCATCTTTAAGAACATCAGATCCTGCGATCTGTCTCCAGACTAAGGTGCCGAGGCAGAGAGCCTAGAGGCGGAGAGGCGAGTTCTATTCCACAGACGGTGTAGAGAACAGGGACACTGTAGCACCAATAGGCCAGCTCCCCCTAAACTTGACGGGAGGGAAATCAAAGTACAATTGATTTACTATTACTAAATGTAGAAAAGGCTTCCTAGTTCCACTCCACGGAGGCTGCCCCATGATGAAGACACTGGCTTTGAAATGGCTCAGCCATCTCCCAAGTATCCAATTGCCTTCATCTGTGTCTGAGCCCCGGGAAATCAGGGAAGGGCGGGAGCTTTGAGCTTGGAAACTGGAGCAGGTGGATGAAAAGAGCTTTCGCCCTTCATCCCTGGTCTCTGAGGTCCTTAAAAATGGGCCTAATTCCTTAGCACTTGGCAGGGCTTGGATGGCACCGCTAGAATTTGTTCTGCTGAGCCAGGCCCGTGAGCAGGGTCCGTAGCACTGCGGAGCTGGGGCCCCTGTGGTTCATGGTTTGCCCCCCACTTGCCTGTGCCCTCCCCTTAAAGCTGTTCAGTGCCCTCAGACTGTGTCTTGGTTACCACGCAGCACCGCTGAGCCCCCCACCTGGATTTGTACTTCCCTGATGTGCCCCACCCATCTTCAAAATGTATCTGCCCCCAACACCACCACCCCTCTCTCCACACCAGGCCTGCAGCTCTCCTTCCAAGCGGACAGCTAATCAGATGGATTAACCCGCATGCGCTGGAGAGCTGTGCTTGGGAAGGAGGGGGAATTTCAAACCAAACCACGCAGTGGTTGCCTGGACACGGAGCCAGTGAAGCTTGCATACCCAGTTGCTGGAGGAGCATGGTATTGGCTGTGTTCTGTGCTCACAGGCTTAGCCCCAGCTCCCTTCCCTTACCTCCTCTGTAGCTGCTCCTGAGGCCCACTGGAAAGTGGAAGATCTTTCCTGTCCCTCTGTCCAGTTTGCCAGAACACCTATCTATCGCACCAGAGCTGGACGGAGACCACCCCACAGTACAGAAGCGGGCCGTGGGTAGCCACAGCTGTCTCCATTAGGGATCTCCTTCTAGATCAGAGCAGCTGTGTTATCTATGGCCCTGAGCTAGGGTATTTAGTACCTGTGGGCAGAGCTAGGAAAACAGACTAAAGGCTCCAAACTGGAACCATCAGGCATCTGGGTACTGCCCTTCACACACAGTGGGTCCTTGCCTCCTTGGACTCCCAGCCCCTCTTCCCTGGCCTCCTTCCACAAGCTGGGCTCCATCCCCATCTATTGAGCTCTCCGCCCCCACCCTCCTTGAGTCTTGCTGCCGAGGCTGGCTGCATGACCTTAAAGAAGGCATTTCATTTTCCTATAAAGTGAAGGACTTGGACCCATCACTAAGGCCTGTCTGGCTCTGAGGCTGGGTGACCTCAATGCACTGCTCAGCCAGTCCAAGGAAATCAGTGCCCGAGCCAGAGTCCCCATCTCTAAGCTCCCTGATCATTGTTCTTGCCACTTGGCGGGGAAACCTCTTTCCACCTGCCCCCATCTAGCCCCTACCCAGGGTGTATACCTCCAACTCTGCCCCTACCCCTCTGCTGCTGACACTCAGCCCCTTCCCATCTCACAGTTGGATGCAGGACCCAGGTCAGGGAGCAGAGGGACACTAAGCAACAGGGGCCAGGCTGGTCCTGGGGGTAGGGGCTCGAGGGCAGCAGTGACAGGGACCAACAGAACATGGGGAGGGGACAGCCAGGGCCCTGCCTGCCTGAGGTTACGGTGGTCGTGGTCAGTTCTCTCTCCTGCCAGCTGTGGAATGTGAGGCCTGGCCTGGGAGATATTTTGGCTGCACTTGGAGTCATCCCCGCCCCCTGGAATCAGACCCTGCTCACTCCATGCCATAACAATGACGACCACTTCCAATTGTTTCCTAGCTGGAGGGAGCGGGGAGGGGAGCAAGGTTTGGGAAGGGGGGGAGCCTGGGGGAAATGCTTTTAGTGACAACAGTCCTTTCTAAATCCGGCTGGGGACTGGGTGCAGGTGGGGGGTGGGGGCGCCCTGCTGCCCCATATATACGGCCCCTAACCAGGTCGGCTCCACAGCTCTCTCCTGCATTCTCTCTTCTTTCTTGCTGCTCTCAGGTAGGAGCACCCAGCTGGAGGCCTTCCTCTGGGACAAGGGGCCTCAGGTTTAGGAAGGGGCTCCTCTAGGAACAGCAAGCTGCATGCAGGGCTTCATGCAAAGTACCAGGTCTGGTCACTGAGCACACATGGGCAGGTCTAAACACACTTGTATGTGCCATGGGCGTGGGGGGCTCATGTGTTACAGGGGCAGATATCTGTATCTGAGCATGTGGGACCAGAATGCGTTAAAGGATGTGTGTGTGTGTGTGTGTGTGTGTGTGTGTGTGTCTGGGTCTGTGTGTCTGTGTGTCTGGGTCTGTGTGTCTGTGTGTGTGTTGTATACAGCATGCACGGTCTGAATGCATGGGGAGGGAGGGTATGTACCTCACTGCCTAAGACAAGAAATATCAAGTGGGAGGCATGTTTATGATCATATCTGAGGACAAAGAGGTCCATTGGGAGGGAGGGGGAAAAGGATGGCAGAGAACGATTACTTAGGAAGTGTGTGCTTAAAAGCTAGTTCTGTGAGGTTTGCAGTGTGTAACCACCCATGTCCACGCGTGTGGAGAGGGCTTGTGTGTGCTTCCGGGAGTCGAGACCGCCGCAGTGTGTGTGCACCCTGCAGAAGCTTTTCACAGGCACAGGCATGCGGTACAGCTCTTCCTGTCTTCGTATACTCGACAGTGTACTTATGCTGTACACGTGTGAAATGTGCACGTCTGTCATGAAGAGGGTTCAGCTATGTAATAGGTGTGTCTATGAGAAGATGCCCACAGGGTCTCCTCTCTGACAATGTTCACCACAACTGACTATAAAATGGGGACAGGATGGAAGAGAACTGGCTCTGGAGTCAGGAGTCTTGGCTTCAAGTCCTGGCTCCACCACTCATTGTTATGTGTTCTTGGACAAGCAAGCCTGTTAACCTTGATTTCCTCATCTGTAGAATGGGGTGAGGATTGAGTAGAATGTGCATACAAGTGCTCTGTAGGCTGGAAAGCCCCAGCACTGTGACCATTAGCTGTATCTCAGGTGGCTCAAAGAAGGCACGCTTCACTAGGTGGATATGAGCAAGAGTGGGGCCACTCCTCCCCCCAGAGTGAGGAGTAAGAGGCTCATTGAGTTGACATCAGGAAACTATTAGAACTTGTGCTGGGGAGTGCAGAGGTCGGGGGGTGGGGGAGAAAAGAGTGTTTGAAAAGCCAGAGGATGAGACCAGAGAGGGCAATCACCACCCCTACCTGCATTCAGGCTTCAGGGTGGAGGGGCAGTGAAGGAGGGAGCCAGGGCAAGGCAGGGACATAGGCCTGATGCAGCCTTCCTTCTCTCCAGGCCCCTGCCAGCTTGAGTTTTTCCTCTCGCAGGCACATTCAAGAAACCAAGGTAAGGAGAGCTGAAGATGGGTGTTGGGAGGATCTGGGAAGACACGGAAGTCTTTGCCCTGGTCGCTAAGCACTAATGGCTTAGTGACCAGGAGTTCTTACCTGTGACTAGTAAGGGGGCCAGGGAGGGATGAGGGTCAGAGGTGGATATTGGTACCTTTCTGCTCCTTCGAGAAGCCTGGGACACTCCTCCCTCCTCCAGGAGAGCCCCAGCCTGAACAGAAGTTAGCCTCCCCCTCTGCCCTGGCAGGTTTGCTAGGCTGTTCTCAGGCTGGGCAATAAGCTCAAGGAATGAGGGACTCTCGGTGGCCCCTCCTGACTCCTGAGCACGGTGCTCCTGCTGAAGGAGAGAGCCCTGGGATGGGAGCAGCATGGAGGGCAGCCGGCCGCTCTTCCCACCTGCTGCAGGCGCAGCCATGCCGGACGCGGAGATGGCGGCGTTTGGGGAGGCCGCCCCCTACCTGCGCAAGACAGAGAAGGAGCGGCTGGAGGCCCAGACCCGGCCTTTTGACCTCAAGAAGGACGTCTTTGTGCCTGATGACAAAGAGGAGTTCGTCAAGGCCAAAGTTTTGTCTCGTGAGGGTGGTAAAATCACCGCCGAGACCGAGCATGGCAAGGTGGGTGGCTGGGCTAGTGTGAGAGGCCACCCTGGAGGCCCCCAACACCTGGGGTGGACAGAGAGGGGTGCCACCAGGATGCACTCCACACAGCCCTGAGAATGGTCCAGTTGTCCCTTCTTTTGGGTGGGGATCTACTCCCTCCCAATAGTGCTTCTCATTCCCAACATCCGGTCTATCTTCTCCGGGACCCTGGCATCTTCTCTCTCAAACACTGCTGTCCTATAACTTGCCTAAACCCTTATCTCTGCTGAGGGGGGCTGACAGCATGGCCTGCACGTGGGCTGTTGCAGACGGTGACCGTGAAGGAGGACCAGGTGTTGCAGCAGAACCCGCCCAAGTTCGACAAGATCGAGGACATGGCCATGCTGACCTTCCTGCACGAGCCTGCGGTGCTCTACAACCTCAAGGATCGCTACGCCTCCTGGATGATCTATGTGAGTGCGGCACCTGGGGCATCCCTCTGACTCTAGTGGCTTCCTGCTCTGTGTGTTTCCATTGCCTGGAGCCCAGACTTTTCGTTCTTTGTGCCCAGGCAGTGCAGCACTCAGTCCTAGTCCAATGACCTAACCCTAGTCTACGTAAGCATCCTTGATTCAGCTCTAGTACTCGAGAGTTGGGGTTAGTCAGATTTAGTGCATTGATATGTTTTCCTCTCTCTTCCTCTTCTCCTAAGGCCTTTTTCTCCCCCTTTATCACTGGCAACTCATTTCTCCTTTTCCCCACCCCAGACCTACTCGGGCCTCTTCTGCGTCACCATCAACCCCTACAAGTGGCTGCCGGTGTACAACGCCGAGGTGGTGGCTGCCTACCGGGGCAAGAAGAGGAGTGAGGCGCCGCCCCACATCTTCTCCATCTCTGACAACGCCTACCAGTACATGCTGACAGGTGACAGGCCCCAAGAGAAGGGTTTCCTGGGGGCCCTTCCTCCCCCCGTGGGGTTCAGGCAGCTGGGAGTTGCCAGAGAGAGGCAAGGAGGGTGTGTGGGGAAGCCAGACAAAGCATCCTGTACACCTCCTGACTTTTTCTCCCCATTTTCTTCCCACAGACAGAGAAAACCAGTCCATCCTGATCACGTGAGTGTGGCTTCTACTCTATTCTCTTTCAGAGTCTCCCCGAGCCCAGCCCCACCCCCAGCCTCTGAGCACAGACCCACAGTTCTCTTTCCCTCCACCTTCATGCCAGCTCTGATTTCTTCTCTGGCATTCACCCTGACCTTCTCCTTGCTCTCTCCTTTCCTTTCTGCTTCCCATCCCTCTCTTATTTTCCCTTCCCCTTCTCCTTCACTCATGCTTCTCCTGCTCATCACTCATTTATCTACAAGCCCAGGATCACCATGTCTTCTTCACCTCTTCATTTTCTTCCATCTTTCCCTTTGGAAACCTTCCCCATTCTTCCAGCCCCACCCATTCTCTTCCAAAACAGCCGAGGCCCATCTCCTCTGATTGCCCTTGCCCTGCTAAGGCTAGGTTCCACCCGCCCAAATCCAAACCTTCTTGAGGCGTCCTTCCTGGTTGCTACCCTTGACCCTCTGTAGGTCAGAGTATAGCCTTGTGTTTGGAATACCTGTTACCTGGCAGTTTCTTGCTTCAGGGCTCACACAGCCAAATCAAACTAGGCAATCTCTCTTGACTTGAGGCTTGCTAGTCTCAAGCAATGTTTGTTCCCTGCCTAATGAGCCTAACTATCCCAACAGCGGAGAATCTGGGGCAGGGAAGACGGTCAACACCAAGAGGGTCATCCAGTACTTTGCTGTCATTGCCGCCATTGGGGACCGCAGCAAGAAGGAGCAGACCCCAAGCAAGGTAGGCCTGCTGTCCTCCGAGGGCCTGCACCACAAAGAGGAGAGGGGGGCCTCTCACCTGCCATCCTCCTTGACCTCTGCAGGGCACCCTGGAGGACCAGATCATCCAGGCCAACCCAGCTCTGGAGGCCTTCGGCAACGCCAAGACCATCCGGAATGACAACTCCTCTCGCTTTGTGAGTGGTCCCTGACCTTGGACTTGGGATTTGGACTGGGGATGGTGTCAAATATGAGCCTTCCCTCAACTCATCACTACTCTTTTCCATCTCTCCAGGGGAAATTCATTCGAATCCATTTTGGGGCGACTGGAAAGTTGGCATCTGCAGACATAGAGACCTGTGAGTGCCACGGATCTGCTAGGGCTCAGGCTGAGCTCACCCTCTTCTCACTGTCTCCATCTCAACCTCTCTCTCCTCTGTCTCTGTTTCTCTACGTCTCTGCCCCTGAGTCACTAGGTCTGTATATTTGTCTCTCTCTTAGATTCCCTCTGGTCTTTCTCCATTTCTGTCTCTGAATGTCTGTCTTTCTCTGTGACTTTTCTCAGAGATTATCTCTCTCCTTCCGAGACTCTGTCTCCAGCTCCATCTCTGTGTGTCTGTGTATGTGTCTCTCTCCCTCTCTTGATTCTCCCTCTTCCATCTTTTGCTTACTACATTTATCATTCATTTTTCTCTGTCTCCTTATGCCTAAATCCCAACCTTTTCTTCCTCTTTCTTCTCCCCTACTATTCACAGACCTTCTGGAAAAATCCAGAGTTATTTTCCAGCTGAAAGCAGAGCGAGATTATCACATTTTCTACCAGATCCTGTCTAACAAAAAGCCTGAGCTGCTGGGTGAGTCAGAGCTACCAACCGAGACCAACTATCTCCATGGCAACCTGGTCCCCTCTGCTTGTGGCTGCTTGTTGACAGGTCCTGGGTTTCTGGCACTGCTGGATTCAGTTCTGCAGGATGTAGGACCCCACTCAGCCCTATCATGTGCTCTCCTGCAGGCCATGTGCTGCAGCAGGCAGCCCCAGGGAGGGCCAGGGGCTAACCATGTCTAACCAGCATTCTAACCATGTCTTTCTCCCTCCAGACATGCTGCTGATCACTAACAACCCCTATGACTATGCATTCATCTCCCAAGGAGAGACCACTGTGCCCTCAATTGATGATGCTGAGGAGCTCATGGCCACTGATGTAAGTGTATGAGGACCCAGTTGAGAGGTGAGGGGCAATTGGTATGGGTTCACTGTCCAAGAGTAGAGCTAAGACACTGGCTATCTGCTGTTCTAAGTGGTATGGCCCTTGCCAAGGGCCAAAATGTGCCCTGTGACCAGCGTGTGCTGGGATACAGGTTTGATTAGACAGAGCAGGCCAATATTTGGTGTTCAGTCAAACCAGAGAGAGCCAAAAGCCATGGGACAGAGAAGCACACAAACCAAGAAATAAGGCATCACCAAGGGAAAGGCAGGGGTGGGATCACATAGATGTCATGGGGCTGAAGCAGGCTGTTAGGTAAAGAACAGATATAGATATGGAAGGTCCAGGTGGGGAAGCAAGTGTAGGGCCTAGAAGAGGGGCAACAGTAGGAAACATGAATGGGTAACCCTGAGCAGCTTCAGAGAACCGCTGTGACCACTGATGCCAGGGCTGAGGCCATCTATACCCTGCTCGTGGACCTCCCATCTTTGCTTTGGAGTTCCCCACTGGGGATGGGAATCTCAGAACCCACAGGGATTCAGGAGACAAGATCTCTCACCAGCTGAAGAGGGATCTCATTTACCTGCCATACTCCCTTTTCTGGGGTCCACCGATACGGGGCCCTCCTATAGAACGCCTTTGATGTGCTGGGCTTCACGTCAGAGGAGAAGAACTCCATGTACAAGCTGACGGGCGCCATCATGCACTTTGGAAACATGAAGTTCAAGCTGAAGCAGCGAGAGGAGCAGGCGGAGCCTGATGGCACCGAAGGTGGGAGTCAAGGATGCTGGGGGCTGGGGCCAGCTGTGGAGTCACTGAGGCCTCCATCTGCAAAGGAGGCATCCTTTTACCAACTTTGCTCCCTGCCATTTCCTTCCAGAGGCTGACAAATCTGCCTACCTCATGGGACTGAACTCAGCCGACCTGCTCAAGGGGCTGTGCCACCCTCGGGTGAAAGTGGGCAATGAGTACGTCACCAAGGGGCAGAACGTCCAGCAGGCGAGTCATCTTCAGACATTCAAAGGAGTGGGGTGTGGGGCTGGCAAGGTGGAGTAGGAGCGTCGGTATTCACTCTTCCCCACAACTCTCTCATCCGGGTCTCTGCTCCACCTTCCAGGTGGAGTATGCCAAAGGGGCACTGGCCAAGGCAGTGTATGAGAAGATGTTCAACTGGATGGTGACGCGGATCAACGCCACCCTGGAGACCAAGCAGCCGCGCCAGTACTTCATAGGGGTCCTGGACATCGCTGGCTTCGAGATCTTTGATGTGAGCAGGGGAGCCCTGGGGGCAGGAGAACAGTAAATCACTTGGTGGCACGAGCAGCCATCCCTGGCTGAGCTGGCTACAGACCAGGCGGGAAAGGCGGTGGGCTGAGCAGTGATGGAGACAGTCATGTGTCTTCAGGGGGCTCTCCCTCCCCGCCCTGACAGGGGAGGGACCAGCCACACTCCTTGCTGGGCTGGACACAGCCCCAGGCTGACCCCGTGGGCCACACAGACACCTGCCCACCTGACCCGCTCCCGCCCTCCCTGTCCCGCAGTTCAACAGCTTTGAGCAGCTCTGCATCAACTTCACCAATGAGAAGCTGCAGCAGTTCTTCAACCACCACATGTTCGTGCTGGAGCAGGAGGAGTACAAGAAGGAGGGCATCGAGTGGGAGTTCATCGACTTCGGCATGGACCTGCAGGCCTGCATCGACCTCATCGAGAAGGTGCTGCCTCGGCCCCTCTGCCTGAACTCTCCACTCACACCCCACATGCATGCACGTCCCAGACAAAATGGTAGCCCCTCTCCCTTCTAGAGACCATGATCTGGATGACAGAAGAATCCCAAGATCTAGTTTCCAGCCCTGTGTTATCCTGGCCACCCAGGACAGGGTGGTACCTGGGAGAGCTGAGTTCCCAGAGACTTGAGAGTAGACACATGGGGGATGGGCACCTGAAGGCTGGCCTTCCACACCAGTGTGTTTAGCAGTCCTGGTTCACACATCCAAGGAGCAGGAAGTCTGAGGGTTGGATGGGGAATCATACGAGTGCACATATTTTGAACCCCAGCATCTCAGGGATCTGGGTGATGGAATGGTGTATAAAGCACCTATAGCACCCACATTCCCAGACTTTCACAAAGGTTCCTCTGAAATGAAATCAAGCTTTGGGGAGGCCTGAACAGGTGCCACTCAACAGATAACTGGACTCGGAACTGACCCTGATACCTTAGCCATCTCTGTTAGCAAATACTGAGCCTAGAGCAGTGTCTATCTCCATCCACATGAAACAGGCTCAGTGATGCTCTCCCCTCCACCCTCAGCCCATGGGCATCATGTCCATCCTGGAGGAGGAGTGCATGTTCCCCAAGGCCACCGACATGACCTTCAAGGCCAAGCTGTTCGACAACCACCTGGGCAAGTCCGCCAACTTCCAGAAGCCACGTAACATCAAGGGCAAGCCGGAAGCCCACTTCTCCCTGATCCACTACGCCGGCACCGTGGACTACAACATCCTGGGCTGGCTGCAGAAGAACAAGGACCCGCTCAACGAGACGGTGGTGGACTTGTACAAGAAGTCCTCCCTCAAGTTGCTCAGCAGCCTGTTTGCCAACTACGCCGGGTTTGATGCACGTAAGTAGAGACCGGTTCTCCAGGGACTAAGGAACAGGGTTTCTGCTGTGGTTCTGAGGCAGGTCATTGCTACACCCCACCACTTCTGACTCACGTTGGGCCCCTAGGTTTACAAGCTCAGTGAGGTAGAAATGTAGAAATGGCTGTAGAAGCTGAGGCACCTGCAGTGAAGACCCTGGCCTGGAGGCCGAATGTGAAGAGACTCTGTGATTCCTCTCCCCCTGCCCTGCTCCCCACACATCCACTTGTCTCCTTTTCTTGACTCTCTTCCCACAGCTATTGATAAGACGAAAGGCAAGGCCAAGAAGGGCTCATCCTTTCAAACTGTGTCAGCTCTGCACAGGGTGAGTGTGTGACCCAGTGCCTACCCAGCCCTGCACCTTCCCTGCCTTGTTCATCCTGGACTCCTCCCACTCTGTCTCCTCATTCATTTGTGATCCTCTCTACTCTGTCTTTGTTCTCACCCTTTTATCTGCTGGCCTCTTCTCTCTCTCCTTTCCCATCTCACCACTCTTCTCTGTCCCCTGCCTTCCATTCTCTCCTCCTCTGTGTCTTCCCCCAGCACTCCTTCATTCTCTTTAGCTCCTTGCATTTTCTCCATCTCTTTTCCTTCCTTCCTCTCCTCTCCCTTTCTTGCCCCTCCTTCTTTCACTGTCTTTTCTTTTTCCCCTTGTGTTTTGGGCCACAGGAGAATCTGAACAAGCTGATGACCAACTTGCGCTCTACCCACCCCCACTTCGTGCGTTGCATCATCCCCAATGAGACAAAGTCTCCAGGTGAGCTCAAGAAGTCGGGCCCTGCCCACTGCTGGGACCCACTGCCCAGGCAACAGGGTCTTCAAGGTCACCTCCTGATCTCCCACCACGGAGGTTTCCAGATCACATTCTTTTCCTCCTGTCCTGCATAGGGTCTCACAGACTACCCCCAACCCTGGCCCCAGTGCTACCTTAAATTTGGAATGTGTAGCTCAGGGTAATGTATAAGGCACTTTGATGGACATAACCTCACAAGTGCCTTACAACCCACGATGAGACATGTAAGGGTTGTATATTTCTTTCTGAATGATAAGGAGATAGAGAAGTTCAGGTGCTGGGTTCAAGGCCTGGCTCTGTTCTGATCAGCTCAGTGAACTTGGTCAAATCCCTTAACCCCTCTGAGCTTAGTTTATTCTCTAGAAAATGGGCTATATCTCCCCTGGGTACCACCTATAATAACAGACATAGACCATATAAAATAAGGACTGTGAAATCCTTTTGGTTACTCTTAAATATATAACATGAAAAACATAAAGGATCATTATTAACTAACTTGCTATAGTTATGGGTCAGTACATGGCAGAGCCAGGATCAGAACCCAGAACCCTTGGCTATTACTTCTGTGCTCTCCCTACACCCTCTTCTCGCCTCCCCTCCTGTCACAGGAGTGATAGACAACCCCCTGGTCATGCACCAGCTGCGCTGCAACGGCGTGCTGGAGGGCATCCGCATCTGCAGGAAGGGCTTCCCCAACCGCATCCTCTACGGGGACTTCCGGCAGCGGTAGGTACCGGGGAGCCTCAGGGCTCAGGGAACAGGGGGAACCTGGGCAGTCTTGGTGGGAGGGGAGTCTGCGGGTGGCCTTGGATTCTGTGGGCAGAGCAGATCAGCGCAAAACATGGGTGACTCCGGGCACCTCCCTCCCCAGATATCGCATCCTGAACCCAGCGGCCATCCCCGAGGGCCAGTTCATTGACAGCAGGAAAGGGGCGGAGAAGCTACTGGGCTCCCTGGACATTGATCACAACCAGTACAAGTTCGGCCACACCAAGGTGAGGAAAGACGGGAGACGAGCTGATTACAAGCTTTCTTGTCTTTTGACTCCTCACCTCACGGCTCCTTTCCTTTTACCAGTCATCTCGGGAACAGTACTAAACCACATGCTAGCCCTCTCCGTGGACCATGCAGCATAGCTCCCCCAACCCAGCTCCAGCTGTCACTGACTTCCTTCCTCTAGTTTTTTTCCTGCCTTGTTACCCTCCCTAAGATAACCCCCTCCTCGTCCCCCTCCTGCTCACCCCAGTCATGTCCACCCACACCTTCTCTGCAGGTGTTCTTCAAGGCGGGGCTGCTGGGGCTGCTGGAAGAGATGCGAGATGAGAGGCTGAGCCGCATCATCACCCGCATTCAGGCTCAGTCCCGGGGTGTGCTCTCCAGAATGGAGTTCAAGAAGCTGCTGGAGCGCAGGTGAGACATCTCAAAAGGAGGTTCCCAGATATCTGAGGCCCGGGTTGATTCGGGGGGCAGCATAAGTAGAAAAAACTCACCACGTCTCCAAACGACAAAGGGCAGCATAACATACATACCGACGCAGGGTGAGCTTCGCTGTCGCAGTGTGGGATAGATGAAGGAAAGTGCCACTACCTAGGAGCCTGGGCCTCAGGACGGGATGGAGGGAGGGGACTCTCTCACCGCTCTTCTCACTGGGCCTCCACAGAGACTCCCTGCTGATAATCCAGTGGAACATTCGCGCCTTCATGAGTGTCAAGAACTGGCCATGGATGAAGCTATTCTTTAAGATCAAGCCACTGCTGAAGAGTGCAGAGACTGAGAAGGAGATGGCCACCATGAAGGAGGAGTTTGCACGCCTCAAAGAGGCGCTGGAGAAGTCTGAGGCTCGCCGCAAGGAGCTGGAGGAGAAGATGGTGTCCCTGCTGCAGGAGAAGAATGACCTGCAGCTCCAAGTGCAGGCGGTGAGGCTCTTTGGCTGCTGCTGGTTCTTCTGCCCTTCTCTGCTTACATCTCCCACACACCCTGCACCTCCCCACCCAGGGGCTCACCATCTTGTGCCCTCATAGGTAGAGGATTCTAGAATCAACACTCGCAAAGATCTCAAAAGAGGTCTTTCAAGAGAAGGAAAGGAAAAGGGGGGAAAGCACTCACTTAAAAACATGGGCTTTCCACAGGGGTTCAACCTGGATCCACAGCTTAATAATTTTGTGACCTTGGGGTAAACAATGCATTATCTTTGAGACTCAACATCCTCATCTCTAGATAGGGAATAAAGCTGCCCATCTCACTATGTTGTAAATATGTAAAGATGCAAAGTGCTGGCATCAACAAATGCAGTTCCCTCCCTTCGATGGAGGAGACCAGAGGAAGGGGGCTAGATAAAGGGACTTCTTGTTCCTTCCCTCTCTGCTCTCATCCCCCATTGCTCCCATCACATTGCCCTAAAACTCTTCCTCTCCACATCCTTCTGAGGTTCTTCTCAGCTGGGGAGATCCTGGAGCTCCCTTCCTATTGTGAGGGCAGAGCTCACCCCTCCTTCCACCTGCCAGGGTGAGCAGCCCACCCACCGAACAGCCTCCCCTCTGTACCTTGCCCTCAGGAACAAGACAACCTGGCTGACGCAGAGGAGCGCTGTGACCAGCTGATCAAAAACAAGATCCAGCTGGAGGCCAAGGTGAAGGAGATGACGGAGAGGCTGGAGGATGAGGAAGAGATGAACGCCGAGCTCACTGCCAAGAAGCGCAAGCTGGAAGATGAGTGCTCTGAGCTCAAAAGGGACATTGATGACCTGGAGCTGACACTAGCCAAGGTGGAGAAGGAGAAGCATGCAACAGAGAACAAGGTGAGGGCAGCTCCCTCTGGCTCCAGCCAAAGTCTCCTCAGGGTTCCCAGACCTGTATGTGGTCCTGGTCCTTGGCATTGGAGGTCTCCATAGCTGTCTCCAGGCGGGTGACCTTGGAACCTAAAGGGGATGGGGTTCTTGGTCGACAGGTGAAGAACCTGACTGAGGAGATGGCTGGGCTGGACGAGATCATCGCCAAGCTGACCAAGGAGAAGAAAGCTCTGCAAGAGGCCCACCAGCAGGCCCTGGATGACCTTCAGGCCGAGGAGGACAAGGTCAACACCCTGACCAAGGCCAAGGTCAAGCTGGAGCAGCATGTGGACGATGTGAGTAGATTGTTACAGGGCCTGGATAGACTGTATCCATCGGTGTGCGCGCGCGCGCGTGTGTGTGTGTGTGTGTGTCAGGAAGGGTGGAGCTGGAGAGTGCTCCGTCTTCTGACCCTTTCTAGAAGGGAGCTGGGGAATAGAAAAGGTGAAGAGTGATCAAGTATGAGTTATGCATCTCATCTTGTTTATATATTCAACGGTAGAGATGGGCTTCCTTACTTTAGGTTCAAGCCTATATATCTCTACCATCAACTATAGGATTTAGAGAGTTATCTCATAAGAAGATGTTACATTTCCTTGGGAATTTTGTGAGGCTCCTCAAGGAGAATCTTTGAACTTCTAATGCTATAGCCAGGATCTGGTCCTCAGTGACCATTGTTTCCCACAGATAGTCCTTTGAGCACATCTCTACTGAATCACTCTTTATCACACTGTGTTATCATTATCGAAGGATCTGTCTCAGCTATAACACTCTCAGCTGTCTTTAGGTGGGAATTTGGATTTATTCAATTTTGTGTCTGCAGTATCTAGCATGGGGCCTGGACCCGAGTAGGTACTTGTAGGATGCAGAATGAATGAATGTAGCTTTGGGGTTTTGTCCCACAGACATTCATTCACTCATTTATCAGATACTTACTGAGCATCCTTACATGCTAGGTGCTCTTAACATTTGGTCAACTCTGGGGATGCTTCCCCAAGACCTCTTAGGATATCCCAACTCCAGAGGGATTGAGCTCCCAAATAACCAAATCAGGATGCTTGGCCTAATGGGACATTGCTGGTCA